TAGTGATACTTTATCCCATCTAACACCTTTGAGAGTTAAACTGGTGTTGCATTTTGCATTAGCCTCAACCCTCTGGGAGTTCAAAGTGAACACTAATCTAGTGTATTGGTATTATGATGTACAACAAACTGGTGTTAAAAGTTACAATGACCAATAAATCATTCCAGATATCAGCATATGACAAGTGCTTTATTTGAATGGTGGCATGTCTCTTAAGACTGACAAATTCTCCCAATATTCAATTCAACCAACATTCAATATTGTTCAACAGCAAAAATGTATATAAATAACCCTCTGTGGCAGTTGAGGTCCAAAAATGTTGTTTGTTGCCTGCCATTTTTGGACCACACAGTTTCAGTACAACAACAAAAAAATGCCAGAGGGAGAAATAAAAATTACAGCACATAGCTGTCTAAGACAAGATAAAAAATGGTGTCATTGGCACTTGCAGACATTTGCAGATCAAAAGGCTTATGAAATTGCAGTGCATCAGGTTTGATGACTGAAAGACTATCCTGCTTAACATTAAAAGGCATGAAGATGCTCAACAAATAAACTTTCCATGTCTCTGAAGACTGACAAATTCTCCCAATACTCAATTCAACCAACATTCAATATTGTCCAACAGCAAAAATGTATATAAATAACCCTCTGTGGCAGTTGAGGTCCAAAAAGGTTGTTTGTTGCCTGCCGTGCCAGGCAACAAACAACCTTTTTGGACCACACACACACATGTAGAAAGGCCAGGGCCCTGATAATATGCTGTCTCACTGAAATGGCTGTGACACAATAGATCGGGCCAACATTTATTTGATCTATTACACCTGTGTCTACCCTGCTATGACGTCAACATAGCTGCTGAGAAAAGGGTTTATTGTCGTCACTCACCACCACTGTCATTCAGTTAATCTTTGATGACAAAGCATATTCCACTGGTAGTGAGTAGATATGGAAATACGTAGTCGTCCACCTCTGTGCCAGTCTCATCCTCCACTGATAAGATGTTGTCCACATGGATGGAAAACCTCTCTTTCACTAAAAGGATTGAAGACAAAATATAAGCTTAAACCATTCTCACACACACACACACACACACACACACACACACACACACACACACACACACACACACACACACACACACACACACACACACACACACACACGGGGGGGGGGGGGGAACTGCCTCAACAGTGCATTATGTCCATCTAATGTAACAGTAGGTTAATGAGGGTGCATCGCAAAATTCCCCTCTGTGGGACTAATAAAGGTATTCTGATTCATATGCAGTAAAGTGGTTTACTTGCCTTCAGTGATGAAGATGTCAAAACAAGCTTCTGGAATTTTGGTGTACTTCTTTTGGTTTCGGTATTGCACTTTGACTATCATCTTCAGCTGAAGAGAAGAGCAAGAGCCCTATATGGGTAAAATGGAGAGACACAACATTTGTTATAAGTTATTAGATTTTTCACATGATGCATCACAACTTCCCCTTCTTAAGCAAGCAAATACTCAAATTGTGTAAGGGTGGCATAATATAAATTGGAACTGTCTTTAGATAAATACATTCTACTTTATGCTCTGTATCTTTAAGCTGAGAGGCTTCTATCTGTGCATGAGATACTTTTCGGGACCAAATTAAGCACAGTGTTGGTGTGTTGCAACCCAGTCTCACGGCATTTTGTGTTATAGTCAAAAAAGTAATCTATTGATTCGTGTTCACCAACACGATTTCCCCATTTTTTTCGTGTCACACAGAACGACTTTGAAAGCAATGTAAATAATAACAAATTAGAAGGAAAAAGAGATTTTAAAAACAAATACAGATTTCAGTATTCTGACACAGACCGATTTTAGAAGCAATGCATTTGTATTGGTAATATGTTTCATGCCTGCACCAAATAATAACAAATTACAAGGACAAAAAGATGAAAACAAATACAGATTTCAGTATTCTGAGCCTCTGAGCCATTTATTTTCCTCCGACATTATACCATTTAAAATAAAAGGGTTAGGCTAAGGGTAAGATATTGAGTAAGAAAATGTTTTTATGAACCACACAGCTTCTAGTCTTCCAAGAAAAAAAAAATCGTTCTGTGTGACACAAAACAAATGCGAAAATCGTGTTTGTGAACACGAATCAATAGATTAAATGTACTGTATGCCGTGAGACTGGGTTGCAAATATTCTTAGCAAGCTAGTTAACATTATTAGCTACCACAAACAACTACAATTATTTTCAAGGGAAATTAACTAATGTTAGCTAACTGGGGAACAAATTCAATTAAATGTAACGTTATCTAGATAACGTATCATCACTCACTGCATGCAGTGCTGTTGTCGAGGCCACACAAGAGGGCTGCTTCCGCACGGAGCAGAAGAACACGTGCTAGAAAGGAAAAGGAGCCAATTAGCCAACAACTTTATTACTGTACATACACTTAAATAATTTCACTTGGGGATCAAATTCAATGAAACGTAGATAACTTACAGTCACGCGGTCTGTCGAGACCACACGGTCGAAACCTGCGGGGACTGATGGCTGCTTAGGTGACACTGAGATAGTGCTAGAAAGGAAATTGGAAGAAAAAAAGTTGTTAGCGAAGTCGGCTAACTATACCAATAAGGACCGACACCAGAACCTCTTAGCTAGCTGTCGAACTAACGTTAGACATGTGCAATACGTTGGTGTTTGTAATGACATAATAGTATGTAACATAGCTAATGTTATCCAATAGCTTGGTTTCACTTGACGTCACACCGCTGTGTTCCTTTGGCGCGAAATTCCATTGGAGGTCAGGAAGTAATTTTCTACAGAGGATCTAGCTGCTGTTACCATTGTGAAAATGCCGGTGTGTTGTGTAGTTTACGGTTGTTCCAATCGATCCGGCAGAGAGAAAAACAAGAGGTTTTACCGAGTGCCGAAGGTTGTCGTTCATAAAGCTGAGCAATTTAAGAAGCTAACCGAAGAACGCCGGAAAAAATGGCTTTCAAACCTACATCTGCGGTCGGGAGGAGCAGTCGTCTAATGCACGTGTCTGCAGCGACCACTTCATCAGAGGTATTAGCTAACTTGGTTTTTGTGGCTTTGTTTATGTATTATTGGGTTGTGGTTAAATGCTTATTTACTTAGTAATACTGATCATGTTTAAGTTACCTGTAGTCTAATATGGACTTTGTTGGGACTTTTTAGGGTGCCCTAGCGCTTTGGGTGACGTTGAGTCGGTAGACTGGGCTCCCACTGTTAGCCTCGGTTACCACACAACAAGTAAGCCCAGATCAGAGGCATCTCTTCGACGAGAGCAGAGGATGGAGCTCAAGGAAGACCAACAAAGACAATCAGAATGTGCAGAGGCTTTTTTGGATCTCCTGCAGACAACCGAGAGCCCAGAACCGACGCAGCCCCCGTCTGACAGCCCACAACCAGAGGACACCAGTGGGATATTAAATGACCAACAAGGTAAATTAACCACCAGCATTATTATTAAATATTACAAATGTGATTGTCAGAAAATCAATGCAAACTTTGAATTAGGTTTAGAAAATAGAGTACTAACTTGAGAATCTGCAATAATTGGAACAGAGAACTTGCATGTCTGTAAAAAGGTTGTCAAAAAGATAACTTCACAACAATTCACATTCATATTTGACTATTTGAAATAACTAATTATGCTTGCTACTGCTATATTGTATGCAGATGCAGGATGCCAGACTGATTTAACGATGGAGGACATCGAGAGGATGGAGGATGTTCTGAAACAGAACACAACAGAGCTGGGAGATCTTCGGACAAAGGCACTGGACACAAAGTTCAACCAGGAGTCCTTTGAGAACAACGAAGAGAAGACAACGTTTTACACCGGGCTCCCCAACTTCTTAGTTTTACTTCAGGTTTTTCAACTGTGCGAGCCCTACATCACCTGTGGCCCTATGTCTGTGCTCTCCAAATTTGAACAGTTCATTTTAGTTTTGCTGAGGCTGAGACTAAATCTCCCTCTGAAAGATTTGGCTTTCAGGTTCAACATCTCTCTCTCCACTGCTTCTAGAATTTGGCATAAGTTAATTGACATACTTCATGAGAGTACAGAATTTATAATTGAGTGGCCAGAGCGACATGTACTTCAAGCTACAATGCCAATGGGATTCAGACAGGCATTTGGATGTAGAGTTGCTGTGATTGTTGACTGTTTTGAAGTTTTTATTGAGAGGCCCTCTAATTTACTAGCTAGAGCACAAACATGGTCCAACTAGCATCACCATACTGTTACATTTCTGATTGGTGTTGCTCCCCAAGGCTATGTCACTTACATATCTTGTGCCTGGGGAGGAAGAGTTAGTGATAAACAGATCACAATACAGAGTGGGCTCCTAAAAAACCTGTTACCTGGAGATATTGTCCTAGCAGGCCGTGGGTTCAATATTGGCGATAGTGTGGGATTTTACTGTGCTTTACTAAAGATGCCTGCATTCACCAGGGGGAAAAGTCAGCTCTCAGCATAGGAGGTGGAAGAGACAAGAAAAATAGCTAATGTGCGTATTCATGTCGAAAGAGTCATAGGATTAGTCAGAAGAAAATATCAGATTCTGCAAAGCAGGGCTGTGCCCATAGAGCACATGCTAACAAAACCAGGTGAGGCACTAGCATTAATTGACAAGATTGGGGTTATTTGCTGTGCCTTGTCTAATCGGTCAGTGTCTGTCATCCCATTGGAGTAAAGTCATGGAGCTGTAGTCTTGTAAATAAGAAACCATGTATTATTCAGTATCATTTAATCTTTTCAGTAAACATATTTTTGTGTTCAAACATCTTGTGTTCAAGTCTTTTCAGTAAACATCTTTTTGTGTGTTGTAAATTGTGTAGCCCTACTCAATATACAACTTTCATCTACATTCAGGCTTAATTCATTCAACAATATTCTAGAGATGACAATTGGTCTGGTGACGCTCCCATGTATGGCCATTGAGGGTTATTGTAAATGTAAATAAGAAACCATATATTATTCAGTCTTCTTAGTATCATTTAATCTTTTCAGTAAACATCTTTTTTACAATAGCAATATATCACACAGCCCTACTTCCTCTAGTGAGTGTGGTCAGTGAATATGAAGGTGCTGTAATGCAGGTTAAAGAGCTGCCACTGTGCAAATAATAATGCAACAAGGAGAGAACCACAACTTCCGGGACCAGGACAGACCACAGGTGCTGGTAATCACGCCTTCTCTTCCTCCTGATCATCTTGCAACTGAAACTGAAAAATGGAACAGCAGACAGGGAGAGGAGGCTTTTAGTCACTTGATAGTTATGCACTATCATGTTCTTGTGAAAAAAATGAGCACACCAACTCTTTATGACTTTTACCTTTCCCCTTGTAAGTTGCTGTCCCAACACTTCAGGGAGAACACATAGTCTGAAGAAACTCAACTCTGGGAATGATGTTGTCCCACAGGTCCACATCACGCACAATTCTCTCTACAAAGAGGTCATTTTTAGTCCAGACAACAAAGTCGCAGTAGTCAACATCAACGACGTGGAGCTGAGCCTGTACTTGATGGTAGTAGGCATGTCTCCTGTCCAGCTTCACAGTGCCCCCATCGTTGACGAGACAGAAGCCCTGTTCTCCAGCACACAGGCGAAGATTGGCCTCCTCTTGTTTGCTGTGTGGGCACTAAAAGTTAAATGAAAAGAAAAGTAATATATTGTACTGTAAATAAGTGTCTGCAGCTCAAAATGTATTGGGAGAGGATCCCCTGACTCAGGATCACGTCACAATCCTATACTTCCCCGCTTTACTGTAGCACAATACTGAACAAATAACTTATCTTTATCTCACAGATACCAGTTCCATGGCAGGTGCACGTGACACATCCATCTGGCGACGCTCCCATGTATGTCCATTGAGGGTTCAGCCAAAGCCCGCTGTCTTTACAGCTGAAACCCTGGTGGTGCAGACTTTGTACTCCTTCATACTGCTTTCGGGCAGTTGCCTCGTATTTGCATCCATACCTGTAATGTATACAACAAGGAACAGAAATAGAACATTGTACATTATAAAACGGACAAGTCAAATCAAGCAATCTGATTGGTTCTTAGCCGTGATATAATCAGCGTATACCACGGGTAGAATTGTAAGTTACTTTTCACAACAAGTCGGTATCCCTCCGCGTCTGAGAAAAACTGTATACAGTTGCGTTGAAAAGCAAACTGCCTGCAGTTTGCTTTTCAAACTGGAACAAGGAAGCAGCGGAGAAGTAACGGGGCAGAAACCCTCCTTTTTACGCAGCGGTCCAGACGCTTTGCGTCGGGCCAAACCACGCCCCTTAGCTGTGATATAATGACCATATACCACGGCCTGTCGTGAGCTATTGCTTAATTATACCATGGTCTGGGTGAATACTCCATTCTGATTGGCTCCCTAATAAATACCTTGTTGCAGCTGTAGAGAACTTGTGTTACTCTGGGTAGCATATGGACTTGATCAAGGACTTTGATGGCTGTGCAAGACTATAGTCTGTAGAACCTGCTTCAGTCTTGAGGCTGTGATCTTTCCTGCTCTTTGGCTAAACCATATTGGTGATAAGCTCTGGTTTCTGGTCTCCTCCTCTACTGCCTGGACCTGTGGCTGTGTCAGCTCTTCCTGTCTGAAGTCCTGGCATGCATTCTGCAACTCTGTTGGGGATAGCTGTAGCATCTTTGGTGTCCTATACTGAGGTAGTGGTTTAGGTAGCTTGCTCACAGATTTAGGGACAAATTCTTTGTAATATGGTTCCCTGGACATCAGTGCAGCACTTCTTGGGGAATTTCTGCTCAAAGTCTTGAAAAACTGCATATACCTCTCTGATCCTCGCTCCAATTTTGAACCCTGGACTGTGGGACGCTGAAATGTGTGCTTCTCACCTGTCCTTCCAGCAATGGCATCATCCAGTTTTTGCTTGTTGGATTTTGCAGATGAAAAGTCTATCATCGCAACTGGAGCAGCAGGAATCTGCACATGTGAGAGACAGACCAACATGTATGTGAACATACATGTAGATGCAGTGTAACAATGAGACAGGCAAGGACGGCATGAACAGCTGACTGACCACTGGGGTCTGAATACCTTTTTGACATTTGATGGCATTAGCCACTTGCACTTCTCAGTGGTGCAGGATGCAGTCTCTCATCTTCACACCTGCTTCGATTGCAAACAGAACTGCTCCAACATGTGAGCAGGATTCTGACAAACTGTATAGACAGAGACATACTAGAATAACTAGATTGATCGTAAAAGCTAGTAATGGTATAACATGAATATTATAGCAGGCATTATTTTTAGGGCCGGGACTCGATTAAAAAAATGAATCTAATTAATTAGAGGCTTTGTAATTAATTAATCGAAATTAATCGCATTTTTAATCACATATAAATATTTGACCTAAGAACAGTGAGAAGCAATTTTTTTCACATGGATTTTAGTATACCATTAGGCGCATTCACACCGCAGTACTTTTCCCACAAAGGTTCATGAGAACTTAGTTCACGAGAACTCTTTGAACCTGGGGGTGGATTAGGCAAATGAAGCCGCTGACGTCACTTCTTCTTCTGCTTTGGGTTTACTGGCAGGCCGCAAACCACTTCACGGCGTATACTGCCGCCCAAAGTCCCCGGCCGGAAGTCCCCGGAGTTGGGGACTGGCTTCAGTAGAAGCTGCTGGGAGTCCCAGCAGCCTTCCGAGTAAATCGCCAGAACGCCGACACCTCCTCATCTCCACCGCTCCCATGTTTTATTTTGTGTTGCCATAAGTTAGTCTCTCTGCGTTTCTGCGCTGGGCTAATGCTAATAATGCTAATGCGAGGATAATAAAATGGCAGCTGTCACTACCTGATCTGCAGTGGCATCTGCGAGATGGTCCGCCATATTGGACAACTCCGGACGGCAACCCAAGTAGGACAACATTGACACAGTGGCTTTTGGCAAAGTATCAAAAATAAAACTCGAGAGAGATGAGTTATTGTTATTACAACGTGACTTCACTATTATTTAACAACTCTTTTATTGGGTTCTTTTATTTGGGGTTAAGTACATTGTCAGAATAAGTGAGAAATGGATTTAACTTCTGTTAAACAGCTATCATACTGAATACATATTTACTGTGAATGTGTGCAAACATGTATGGCATAATGTCTAACAGAAGTTAAATGTCTAACAGAAGTTAAATCCATTTCTCACTTATTCTGACAATGTACTTAACCCCAAATAAAAGAACCCAATAAAAAGAGTTGTTAAATAATAGTGAAGTCACGTTGTAATAACAATAACTCATCTCTCTCGAGTTTTATTTTGGAGCTTTGCCAAAAGCCACTGTGTCAATGTTGTCCTACTTGGGTTGCCGTCCGGAGTTGTCCAATATGGCGGACCATCTCGCACATGCGCACTGCAGATCGGGCAGAGCTGCAGATCGGGGCTGCTTCTCAGGTCGACTATTTTCATTTCCTCGCTCCTCGGTCCTCGGTCTCACCGGAAGTTGATTTGCCTGCGCCATCTTGAGTACCGTCCCATGGCTCTTATTTCTGCCGGAGGATCGAGGAGCGAGGAGCGATCATGGAGGAGCGATAACCGAGGAACCACCAGACCATCCTCCGATGAAATCCTCAGATACTCACCCCGCCCCCTTACTGTGTATCGCTCACTGATTGGACGAGGCACTACATGCACTGATCTGATGCTTCTTGACATGAGAGCAATACCCCAGCGGAGTGAAGAAAATACATCAACATCACGGGACTCACTCCTCAGTTTATACTGTGTTTTGTTTCAATTCATGTATAATTTAGTTACAAATATGTGATATATCTAAACAACAAAGTGGTCAAACATTTTTGTATTCATTCATTGGAAACATTTTCATGATCGCTTTTTTCGTTTATATATTTTAAGAATGGCGTTTATCTTTTTTGAGAATGACTTCTTATTTTATTTCATGTATTTGGATCTACAACAGATGATACTAATGTTTATGTCAGTAAATGTGCACTAACAGAGGCGGGGGTGTTTGTGGAAATAACGGGTACAGAGCTGGCTGCTGCCAGACGAACAGCTGTGCAGCGTCATCACAAACGGACGTCGCTTCACGTGACGCTCCGGAGGAAAGGACGTCCCATTGCTCTTAAAACTCATTTCCCTGCTTCTCGTGGTTTCCTTGCGTCCCTCCATGCTTCCCTGGTGGGAGGGACTAAACGCAGGGAAACGACGCAAGTGAGGGAAGCAAGGATTTCATTTAATCGACCTGAGAAGCAGCCCGGGTAGTGACAGCGGCTTCACAAAACTTTTTGGGAGTTTTACGGGGCGTGGTTTGCAATCCGCCCAGCCAATCAGAAATATAGCTCTTTTCTCACAAGAGAGCCGTACGAAAGTCCCTGCTCTCTAGCAGCTCTCTGCTCTCTAGCAGGGACTTTCGTGGGGGTAAAAAGGTTCTCATGAACTAATTTTAGTACTGGCTCTTTTTGGTGTGAACGTGATAAAAGAGGCTAACGTCCACGCTAGCTGCTATATGTTTTGCATTGAGGTGATACTTGAGGCTTGATGTGCTGCGGTGATATGCAAATTACTTTTTGCATAATCTGCACACAACCGTGCTCTTATCGACGCTTCCATCCGTCCGTTTTTTAAAACAACATTTCCCACTGTTGTTCACTGTGGTTTGTTGTTGTCTGAAGTCATGAACGTTAGTTGGTGCTCCAGTATAATCGGTACGCCTGAAACTCATCCAGTGAGAAACGTTCCGCAGTGCAAAAATAAGTGCGATTAAAATGCGTTAATTTTTTTAACGCGTTCATTTTTGTGTAATTAATTCATCTTAATTAACGCGTTAAAGTCCCGGCCCTAATTATTTTGTCTGAGCTTAAGTGTTGTGTCAAATATGCTTTGGGTTGGGATATTTATTTTATGACTTACCCAGCCATACAGTTACAGTGTGCTGTAACAACCTCTCCATCTTCTTTAGCTACAATCCACGTTTTTAATGGTGTTTCTCCAGACCTCTGGGAATGGTTGACCTACAAAATTGAAGCTCCAGTTAACAACTTGCTAGTTAGTAACATACATTTAACAACATCAAGCCATAGCTAGCTAGTCTAGTTCTGTTACGTCCCCAGCTCGTTTCGGGGTAAAAGGGAAGCAACACATAACCAGATGGTCTTGGAAAGAGGTTGTTTTTAATATTAACCTCAACATAGAGTGATATAAACAAAGTGCAGGCTGTTCAAAGGCTCTGAGCTGTCTATACACAACAGTACACAAAAACGAAGGCCACAGAATATCACAGTCACGAATCAGGACACTTAAGACCGAACTAGTGAGACGTTTCGCACAAGGACAACGCCGTCACCAAAACACAATATATCCTAAGCTAAACACATACACTCACATCAATATCCTAAGTACACACACACCATAAGCACTCGAGTTAACCTCTGTTAACAATATCGTAAGGAAACACACATCATAAGCACCCGAGTTAACCTCTGTTAACAATATCATAAGGACACACACATAAGCACCAATAACACACAAACATTCTGAGGTATGGTAGCATGGCATCCTAGCACAGAGCCAGCGCCCCGAATGTCAACAACGTCGCAGCTTAAGTAGCGTCATCAAGAGGCGTCGGGACCTCTTGGTACCATACAT